GATAGTCCTCCGGGATCCCATCCCAGAAGGGCTGAGGAAGATGCTCAGCACCGAGCCCCGAGAGCAGAGGGAGCTACCCTGGCACAAAACGGGTCCGAATTCCCTCGGGTGAGGGAACTGGGTCAAGGCTGAGCCCAGCAGGATTCTCCTGGAGCCAGACGACCCAGCAGCAGAGAAATCCCAAATCCTGGCATGGTTGGACTTACAGCCGAAGACCTACTGATGCTGCGACGCCCCCCCCCACCGACACAACGTTGGGAACAGAACCACTCCCCACCCTGCTCCTTTCCTGCAAAGTCTTTTCCAGTGAAATACTAATTTCTGGGGCTGATGAATCACTCATCGTGATTATCAGTGATTACAGGCTATGGGCACTAATCACACTCGCTGTTGCCGGTGAATGAATACTGATGAGGCAATTGACAGGAAGAAATCAAATAAAAAAAAAAATTCCCTCCCGCTCATCAGCTCCTCCTTGTTTGCCCAGCGGAGGAAGAGCCATTAACCCCTCACATGGGGACGCCTGCTCAGGGGACAGAAAGCCACCGCTCCCACTCAGACATGCCACCGGTGTTCTCCCAGCTCCGGTGTCGGGCTGTCCTGCTGTCCCTCCCCGCCTCTCTCTTCGGCCAGACCCAACGTCCTGACCATCAGCAGCGGCCGAGCTGCCTGTTCTCCCCATGCCACCCTTACCCACAGGGACAGAGCTGTGTCACCAGTAACGGGTGCTGAGGCAGTCCCCAAAAGAGCGCTGCTCCCTGCTTGTCCCCCTGATCCAGCTGCAGACCCCCACATCCCTGCTGCCACCAGCCCACTAGTGACATTTCACAGCTGGATGCCGTCGTAGAGGGACATCCAACCCCACGCTGTCAGCCCCGGTGCCTTCCCTGCCCCAGCCTTTCCCTGCTATGAACCCAGTTTATGCATTTTATATCTCCCTGCTGAATATTTTAGCATCATTCGGAGCTTTTAGCATCATTCCAAGCCAGAGCACCCACCTAAGACACAGCGTGCTCCCCCCGGGGCCACCCAGACCCCCCAAACCCCAGCCCGGAAGGGAATGCTCCCCCCGCAGCTGGCTCTGCCCCACGGTTGCGCACGTACCTGCAGTGGATGACGATGGGGCCGGCGTCGGGCGGCGTGGATGCTTTCACCCTGCGGATGAAGGCCAGCAGCCCCGTGGCGTGGTAGGGGACGCCGTGCTCGGGCCACGACGTGAAGTGGAACTGCTTCACCTCGTGCCGGGCCGAGTAGCCCCGCTGCAAGGGAAGGACGAGACGGAGTGAGGGTACAGGGCGGGCAAAATCCTGCCCAAGCCACCCAAATGCCAGATTTTCTTGGGAATCCATGATTTTGCCAGCTCAGCATCCATCCAGACAGACCACACAGTGGCCGGCTGCTTCAACAGCCCCACAGCTCCCTCCTCCTCCTCACTGCAAGAGGGTTAAAAACCAGCCGAGGAGGAAGAGAAGGTGACGGTAGCAGCCACGGGTCTCATTCCACGAGCATCTTTGCTACCTGCCCTATAACTAGACAGTAATTTCACATTCCTGTAAATTAAGGGGTAAATCGCACCGGCTCCATCCCCAGGTACCACGCTGGAGACTAATGGCCACATAACCCACGCTCCATGCCGGAGGAGAAAAAGCATCCTTCACCCCGGTCGCAATTACACGGCGCTCACACGGAAATTAAACACTCGCTCACTGCCCAAACCAAAGCGGGGCTGAGCCGCTTGGCCCGGCGGAGGGCACGGAGTCAGGGAAAAGGCAAAGGAAAAAAGCTACCAGCATCCCCGGGGTTCAGAAGCTGCACCTCAACCGGGGAGGCGGGGGGGGG